CTGACTGCTGGTACCAAGGGTGTTAATTGTGCATCCAAGCAAGATGAAGCTGTTGAGTTTCAGTCTCTTCTCCAACCATCATGACACTGCCTATCAGTCCAGGGGTAAGACTCTTTGTTTTCCTGACATTGAGATGTAATCCATACTGAAAGCTGCATTCCTTGATTTTCTGCAACAAGTACTTTAAGTCCTCACTTTCAGCCAGCAAGTTTGTGTCATCTGCATAATGCAGGTTATTGATGAGTCTCCCTATACTCTTCGAGTCCAACTTTTTGGACAATTTGCTTGGCATACAGATTGAATAGGTATGGAGAGAGACTACATCCCTGATGCATTCCCTTCCCAATTCCAAACCATGCAGTGGCTCCTCTGCTCCATTTGCACAACAGCTTCCTGATTCAGGTATAGGTTCTCCATGAGCACAATCAAGTACTCTGGGATTCCCATTCTTCTCAATGCCAGCCACAATTGTTATGATCCACACAGGATAACAGAGGACAGTTACAGTAGTGGTAGAGCCCATATTGAAAGTCAGTTGAAATGAGGGAAAAGATAACAGACATCATTTAACAAATGGTACTTGGAATGTCTTAGCTTGAATGTTGGAAAACAAGAAATTGTTAAAAATGAAATGGAATATATGAATAGCGATATAGTAGGCATTAGTGAGATGAGATGGACCAGCTTTGGCCACTTTGATTCAGATAATCATATGATACACTATGCAGGGAATGAAAAACAGAGGAAGAATGGTGTTGCATTCATAGTCAAAGGATCAATTTCAAGTTCTATCCTGAAATACAATGTTGTGATAGGATAATATCCATATGCATAGGAGGAAGACCTGTTAACATGTTTGCTCCTACATCTAGAGCCTAAGATGAAGAAATGGAGAATTTTTACCAAAGTTTTTGCAGTATGAAATGGATCAAACAGGCAATCAAGATGTGTTAATGATAACTGGAAATTGGAATGCAAAAGCAGTGAAGAAGGAAGAAAATATGGACTTGGTGATAGAAGTGAGGCTGGGAACACGATGACTGACTGTATTTACAGTGATTTATTCATTGCAAATGTCTTTTTTTTAAAGACTCAAACAACGACTTTACCTGTGGATCTCACCTGATGGGCAGCACAGGAATCAGACTGACTACATTTGTGGAAGAAATCATTGGAGGATCTCAATATCGGTAGTTAAAACTAGGTCAGGGGCAGACTGTGGGTCAGATCATCAATTACTCATATGCATGTTAAAATTGAGGCCAAAGAAAATGAAACCAAGATATGATCTTGAATCAGTTCCATCTGAATTTCATGACCTTTCAATGCATGACTGATCACTCAATCCAGAGGCCTTTGTTTTGTTTTTAAAACTTATTAATGAAAAAAAAACCCAAACAGCCTTCTCAAGGTAGGAGGATGGGAGAGGACTGACCAGGTCCTTTCCAGGTCTGATGCCTGTGTTGCTCTTCATTGTTTCCTGTAACGATCTAACACGCTGGGTACCTCCCAGGCTCTGGGGAAAGGCTGCAGAGTGGACAGACATTAGTTTGTTTCAGAGGCCGCGGGCACCTTAATTTCAGGGTGGGGACAGAACAGGGACTCCACACCCAGATTAGAACCTTCCCAGTCAGGCCTGAGGGCAGTAGCCAGGTCCCCCCCGGGACCCCCTAGGGCCTCCAGGGCGCCCCCAGTTTCCCCAACCCCGAGATCCCCCCCATGCATCCCCTAGAGCCCCAGGTCTTTGTAGATCCCACCAGGTCCCCTCAGATCTCACCCAGGCTCCTCCAGGCCTCCAAAGCCCCCCTGATTCCCCAGTCCTTACATGTCTCCTCAGATCCCACTAGGTCCCCCAGGTTCCCCTCGGATCCAATCCAGGCCCCCCAGAGCCCCAGATCCCCTCCAGGCCTCCCCAGATCCCCTCCAGGCCTCCCCAGATCCCCACCAGGACCCCCTCCAGGCCTCCCCAGATCCCTGC